TCTGCTTACTAAATACCAGTGGGTGAAGAACGCCTTCATTGCCATTTTGGCATTTCTAGCTTGGCAGAATTCTTTACCCTTCCAGGTTATAACTGTCCCAGTTTTTCTTGCATAAAAAACCATTTATTTTATTTGTTAAATGTTAATTTTAAAAGGAATTTTAGTAGAGCTGAACACAGAGAAACTTAAAATTATCTGTCTATATCTATCTATGTTTTTGGGGCGTACTCAGTGTTGCTCAGGGTTTACTGCTGTTCTGTGCTCAGGAACCACTTCTGGTGGTGCTCACGGAAATGTATGTGGTGCCAGGCATCCAACTAGGACCGGTCATATACAAGGCTAGTGCCTTAAACCCTATACTACCTCTCCAACCCAAGAAACACTTTTTGTTTTCACATTTATAAACGAGTGTTCTCATGTACAAATAGGGATAAGAAAACTTGCTATTAGCCTGTACTTCATTTCTTTATGACTAAATGAGTTTTTCTTAGTAAGTATCAAGTAAAAATCATTCAAGCATTAAAAAAAAATAAAGAAAACTTCCTCTTCATTGTATGTGGAAGATGAAGGGGAATTATTGTTATTTGTAACAATAACAAAACTATTATTTCCGACCTGTCTACTATTTTCCAGACATCAAGGTAGGCACTTTGTCTTATTTAATGTTAACAAGACTTTAAGATATTGTCTATCTTTTTTCAAATGAGGAAACAGACTAAGAGAGGCTTTAAATCATTTACCATTTAAAGGTTGATAAATGGTGATGCAATGCCTGATTCTGAAAACCTTGATTTTCATTTATTCTGACCTTCCAGGAGAGAGATGAAACTGTTTGGAAGTCCACTGTGTTGTCTACAAATTCTTCAATAATTGAACTCCCAACTTTTGTGTCCTCCCACTCATCACTGCTCCACCCCATAATATACATAAGTAATGGTGATCTACAGGTGATTCCTTAATATTCTTTTCCATCAAGTCTCAGCTGGTGTCTTTGTTTACGATGCTTTCTTGGCCTGAAACTTCATTATTGGACCAACTGGCTGACTCCTACCTTTCATTCAAGTCTCAGTGTATACTCTTCTGCCATGCTCCAGTCATTCCTGATATGTGTATACTGCAAAGATCATACTGTATTATCACCTGAACTGTGAGCATTTCCAAGGCCTTTCAAAGGAACTGTTTCCCAGTAGACAGTCAATTAAATATTTATAGAATGAAGTAAAGAAAGGGTACATACATGACAAACATTCATGCACAGAGCTCATTAAGGATTTGTGGTGGGTCTATATCACTTACTTCACATAAGCTAAAAGTGAAAAGAAATAAACAAAACTTTCACCTTCTGGGGCACAATAGATGATTCACTGTCAAAAGGTGCCTGCCTTATGAGTGTAAGCCCCCCTTTTCCCCAATGGTGTGAGATTTATAGTGAACTTCAATTCAGATGTTCAAGTACTTACAATTGAGCAGTGCCACCTCCTGTCACCACCACCTCGACAACAAAGGGGAAAAAGAAACAATAACTTTACATCATTTGTGTTAAAACTTTAACATTTTTATCTTTTCCCCAAAGTAAATTGAACTCTGTAAGAGTTCAATAGCTGGAGCGATAGCACAGCAGGTAGGGCATTCGCCTTGCACACAGCTGATCCGGGTTCTATTCCTCCGTCCCTCTCAGAGAGCGCGGAAAGCTACTGAGAGTATCCCGCCTGCTCAGCAGAACCTGGCAAGCTCCCCATGGTATATTTGATATTCCAAAAACAGTTACAACATGTCTCACGATGGAGATATTACTGGTGCTCACTCGAGTAAATTGATGAACGAGGTGAGGACAGTGCTACAGTGTTACAGTAGTTCAATATATATTTGCTGAATTATTGAAAATCATGCTAAAGAGGACAAAGACTTATAATCTAATGTGTTTTCTTCATCTCCAGATTCACTTTGTATTGTTCCTACTCTATGCCAAAAAGAGGAACAATATGTAATTTCCACTGGTGGATCAGATACTCATTGAGTTATTATATGCCAGTCATATTGGCTCAATGTTTGAAAAAGCCTTGTTTCTTGTATTTCTATTTCCATTCTGGAGAAATTTAAGAAACGATTCAGCAAAAAATAGCTTTCTTCATTCAATTCATTTACTCTCCTAGAAGCCAGTTTCTGAAGCTTTTATTTTTAAATGTTTGCTTTCTTAGCTGGGCTGGAGCGATAGCACAACGGGTAGGGCGTTCGCCTTACAAGCGGCCAACATGGCCGACCCGAGTTCGATTCCTCCGCCCCTCTCGGAGAGCCCGGCAAGCTACCGAGAGTATTCGATATGCCAGACACAGTAACAACAAAGTCTCCAATGGAGACGTTACTGGGCCCGCTCGAGCAAATCGATGATCAACGGGAGGGCTTTCTTAGCTCTGATCACACCAAAGTGAAGCTCTCTTTATCTGAGTTTGCCTCTTGCTGGCCCTTTCCCACAATATCCAGGTGTGCTCGGAGAGGACTAGATTGAGGTTTTGCTTCTCTAGAGTTTCGAATCTATAGGGCCCAGGACAAAGCTTAGGACAGGGCCAACGCTCTCTATGTAAGATGTAAGTGTTGTGCAAATACCAGTTACTCTTTGTTGAGCAATATGGATTGTCATTTTGGATTTTCATAATAACAGATGCGTATTATTACCATATAGCAGTAGGGAAAAGAGTTTTGTACAGCTTTAGAAACTTGCTTATGGTCACACTGCGGTGGAGTCTGTTGTTAAATTAAGAGATAAAAGAATGAAGCCACTATTGATTCTAGATGACCAAGATGCCTTTTCAACACTGTTATGGGAAAAATTTGTTTAGATTTTAGTTTTTGAGTCTTCAGATCAATAGCCCTATGTTTACCTTGATGAGTTGGGGCAACACAACTTTATTGATTTATGTTCATTTTGGAAACAGACTTATTTTAAAATTACTTTTAATTTTTTTCCTTTTAAAAATAGAACCACCGTGAGACACACCGTTACAAAGTTGATCATGATTGGGTTTCAGACATATAATGTTCCAATACTCAACCTTCACCACCAGTGTCCCCGATTTTCCTTCCACATTCACCCCAGCCTGCCCCATGGCAACACTTTCTCTTTCTCTCTCTCTCTCTCTCTCTCTCTCTCTTTTTCCTTTTAGGAATTGTGATTTGCAGTACAAGTACAGAAAGGATATAACTTTACTTCCTTTAGTGTTTAGTTCTTGTCTAGAGTGATCATTTCCAACTATTTTTGTCATAGTGATCTTTTCTCTCTTTCTCTGACATAACTGCAATCCCCCCTCCCCCCCCCACCCCCCCCCCCCCACACACACACACTTGTGGCAAGCTTCCAACCATGCACCAGTTGTCCTGGCCCTTGTTTCAACTGTCTTCGGGTATTAGTTTCATGTTATATATTTTTTATACCTTGCAAAGGAGTAAAATGATTCTATGTCTGTCCTTATACCCCTGACTCATTTCATTCAGTATGGTACTTTCCATATCCATCCATGTATAAGAAATTTTCATGAGTTCATTTTTCTTAGTGGCTATGTAGTATTTCACTCTGTGGATGAACTCTAGTTTCTTTATTCACTTATGTGTTCTTGGACACTTGGGGTATTTCCAGATTCTCGTTATTGTGAATAGTGCTACAAGGAGCATTAAGAGTGCAGATAGCTTTTCTGCATTGTGTTTTTGGGACACTAGGGCTTTTTCTTAGGCGCAGTATTGCTGTATTATATGGAAACTCAATTTCTAGTTTTTTGAGCAATGTCCATATTGTTTTCCAAAAAGGTTGGACCAGTCTGCATTGCCATCAGCAATGAATGAGAGTTTCTTTATCTTTAATCCACACCAGCACTGGTTGTTCTTTTTGATGTTTGCCGGTCTCTGTGGTGTGAGTTGATATTGCATTGTTTTGATTTGCATCTTCCTGTTGATAGCAGTGTAGAGCAATTTTTTAAAACATGACGTTTGGCTATTTCTGTTTCTTCCTTGAGGAAATTGTTGTTCATTTCTTCTCCCCATTTTTTGAGGGGGTTGAGTTTTTTCCTGTGAAAAAATTCTGCTAGTGCCTTATATATCTTTGATATTAATCCTTATCAGATGGGTGTTGGGTAAATAATTTTTCTCATTCCGTGGGCTATCTTTGTCATCCTGGTTATCATTTTCTCTGAGGTGCAGAAATTTTACGTAGACCCACTTGGGAAACAGACCTCTTTCTGGAAGTTTTGTGATTTTCAACTTTCTGAAATAACACGCATTCTTTCCAGTGCAGAAATTGCTCTGAATCCCAAGGGGACATGATAGGTCAAGTGAGAACTGTTATTCAAAAGGATTCAGGGACGAAGAGTTTTTCTACAGACTGAATGCAACAGAGATGATTTTTGCAGGGAGAGAGAGAATGGGCCTCCTTATCTCAGAAACAAATCCTGAAAGTTGTGGGACGTTGAATATTCACATCAAAGGCAGCTGGGAATGGGATGGTGATGGTGGTGCTGGTGGTAGAGGTGGTGGTGTTGGAGCGGGGACGAGGAGGGGTCGGTGTATATGCAGGCGAAACTCTATTGCCAATAGCTAAGATGGCTGCTAATGAACTTCACTTTTGGATGGCTACGTTTTCTTTGCTTTTTGGCGTTTTCACCGAGAATTAAAATGAATAGTTCTAGTAAAACCTTATTCTCTCTTACAGCGATAGTAAGATAGGGGGAACACTTTGCTTAGAAGACCTTCTACAGCTCAAATTTTGCCTTGCCCTTAACCAACATGGTCGCAAACGTTGTCCCATAGTTTGAAGCGATCAGCCCTGAACAAAGATGGCGCCCACAGAGGCATTCTAAGGCAGTTTGCCCTTTCTTCTGCCCTTGACTGCCATGGCTGCCACGGCGACGATCACGTGACCCCCCGGAGTACGGCGCGGGAGAGGGGGTAGGAGGGCCCTTGAAGGGTGCGCGTTCCCGTGGCGGTGCACCGGGTAGGTTTCAGTCAGAGTCACTATGGCGGCCGGCGCTGGCAAGGTAAGCCGAGGCGGCGGCGGCGGCGGCGGCGGCGGCAAGGGAGGCTGGACCCGTTGTGGCGTCGGCGCTCTAAGTCCTCGCAGTCCGTCCGCGGAGAGGTCGGCCGAGGTCGAGGCCAGCCGGGGGGCCGGCGGCTGGCGGGTTGGGGCGGTCGTGGGCTCCGGCGGGCGGGCACCGGCGCCTGACGGCCGTTTGTTTTGATGTCTTCCCCCCCAGGTCGGAAAGTTTCCTGCCTCGCTGGGCACTGCCTGAGCGTGTCCCGCCGGCCCGAGGAGTGGAGGCTGCGGCGGACCCAGCCCGGGGCCTCCAGGCCTCTCCCCCCGCCTCCGGGCCAGCCTCCCTCCCCCACCTCCTGCTCCGCCGAGGCTGCCGTCCCTGCGATGCGACCCTCGCGCGGGCGACCCTGAGCGGAGGCGGCCGGGAGCCCGAGCGTCCGAGCGCCAACTTCCCGCCGCCGAGACCCCGGAGCCTCCCGGGGGGTCGCGCCTCGCCCGGCCCGTCCCGGCCTGCGACGCCGCTTCCCCGCCCCGCTCGCGGGGACGCCCTCCAGGTGCCCGGGCGGCCGGATTGGGCAGCGGCCGGCGCCCCCGCCGGTGCCTGCCGCGGGCGCCGCCGACCCCCGTCGCCGCCGCCGCCGCCGCGGCGGCTCGTGCCGGCCCGGGGACCCCGAGCCACCTCCCGGGCGGCTTCGGCGCCGCAGGGGCGATGCCGACGGTGCGGCCGGCGGTCTAGCCCCGCTCGCCCCGCGGAGCCCGCGGCCCTAAGGACCCGCGGGCTGCCCCGCCGGCTCTCGGCTCGGCCCGCCAGGACCCTCCCGGCCGCCGCGCGCCGAGCCCGTCCTTCGATGCTGCAGTGCTGTCACGTTTCCGCCACCGAGGGGGGAACGCGGCCGCCATCCCAGCCCCAGCCCCAGCCCCAGAACTGGTGTGTGACTCATCGGCTCGGACACCTCCAGTCCCCGAACTGCCTTCCAGGACTGCTCCGGGCCGCAGCTGTCCGATGCCGTTGCCTCCCAGGGCAGAAGATGGACTGAGAGCCGCCGGTGGGGCACGTCGTGTGGTCGGGGCGCAGCTGGGTGCTCGCGGAGGTGATGGGGCTTGCTCGGGCTCGTCTGCCCACTCGAGCGAAGAGTTGTTGACGTTCACGGGTCAGGCGTAGACGATGCGCAGCAGTTCGTTTTAGTCTGGGAACCGGGGGGAGGGATCGGGGATTAGGCTCGTGAAGGGCAGCCCGGACCCCGCGGAGCTCCTCTTTGTCCCTGCTAGGAGAGACACCCCCCCGTCTGTCCTCGATGCCGTCAGCCTTGGCCATCTTCACTTGCCGCCCGAACTCGCACCCGTTTCAGGAGCGTCATGTCTACCTGGACGAGCCCATTAAAATCGGCCGCTCCGTGGCCCGCTGTCGACCGGCGCAGAACAATGCGACCTTTGATTGCAAAGTGCTGTCAAGGAACCACGCTCTCGTCTGGTTTGACCACAAGACGGGCAAGGTAAGGTCCCCGCAGGTGTCCGACGCGTCGTGGCCCTTGGTTTCCGTTCATGCCAGGGAGGCGTCTGGCGTGCGCGGAGGGCGGCCGAGCTCCTTGCACCCGAGAGGAGCAAGGCCCGGCACCAACTTGGTGTCAGTGTGAGTGTCATTGAGGTGGTTGGATGGAGAAAGAGACGGTGTTATGATTAAATGCCTCAGGGGGGCGATGGCATCTTGATAACTCTGGTCAGTCCCCGTGGAATCCCAAACCCCACCGGTCCCGGTTCTGAAAGCCGGTGGAACTTGGCTTCTTGCTTTCAGCCTTTGTGGAGAGGTGAATGTGCACTTCAGGTCTTGATGAAACAAACAGTAGTTCCCAAAGCAATGGGGAGGGGTCGGGGGGAATCAGTGGCTAGTATTACACTGGGGCTCAGGTGTTTGGTGAGGTGTGTATGGTGAGGTGTGCTTACAGGTAGCTTTCAGTTAAGATCAGGGTCTTTCTGGTAAGAAAACTTGTGCAGATTTGTTTTTGGAAGAGACTTGATATGTATTAACCCATGGAAGTAATTGGCAATTATCAAAGCTCATTTAAGGAGGAACAATGTAGCTTTATGTTTTCAGTTTAGTTTGCAAGTTGGGTGAACTTGCCAAAAAAAAAAAAAAAACCCAAGAAACAAACCCAACCTCTTCCCCCTCAAACCACCACCCAAAACCCTACTATTTATTGTTTGTGAAAATCAGTTTTTCGTATTCCTCGTAGTATGGTAATTCTGAGAGTATGCATTATTTTTTTTTAAAATGATTTAAAACATACAGAGGTGATAACTAAAAATCATTATTAGGAGATGAATTTATGCTCTGAAATGTTATCTAGTTTTGTCAGTTTCTAGGTTACATGGTAGGATGAATTTACTGCTCTTGAAGATTCTTTGATTTACAGCACAGTGGTTTCTCATGCACCTAATTCCAGCACCACACCCATTACCAGTTATTTTAGCATTTTTAACGTTGGTATTCTGACTTACTATACATGTAGGCATTTAAGCATGCAAAAGAAAAAATAAAGTATGACCCTTTCAGTCTTTAAGACTTGTTGTCTCTTTGTGTGGACGATATATCAAAGAGCTCAGCTTTGCATTTGAACCTTAGGTTTTAGTTGAGCTACTGAGTCAGTTCCAACTTAGAGTAAGTTATGTAAGACTAACAGTCTCAGGTTTCACCTCCTGACTCTTTGCTCCCTCTTTCGGAGTTACATGATTGTCTTGAAACATTTTTTTTTAAGTCTTCAAAAATAGAATTTTGAAATGAAAGAAAAACCGAGCTTCAAAAGGAAGAGAAAATTGTCCATACATTTCTTGCTTTTGAATAAGTAGTTATTATATAAACACTTTTTCAAAGGAAGGAGGGAAAGATTGCCTAAGTGTTATGTGCTTGCATAATACTACCTATCCCCTACTTTGTGTGTAGGATGAAAACTGGAAAGTAAGTCTTTCTGTATAATATCAGGTACTCATTATCTGTGGCATAGCCCTCTTTATTTCCCTTGGAAATTTAAAGTTTGGATCCATCAAAGACTTCATAGTTTACCCCTAATGATTTTAAATGAATATTCATGGGACTCATCTTTCTTAACAATCGTATTTGGACATCAGTTAACTACTAGTACCTCAGCTCAGCCAGCTTTTACATTTTTGTCTTTTTATGGCCCTGGGCAGCAGTTAAGGATCGGCCTAATTAGATAATAGGTTTGCTCAAAGTACATTCTCTGCAAATGCATATTCTTTATTTGATTTGAGGAGGAGACACAGAGTTTTCTTTTACTTCTTTGGAAAATATTGATTATGTGAACATGGTTTCTCTCTCTCTCTCTCTCTCTCTCTCTCTCTCTCTCTCTCTCTCTCTCTCTCTCTCCATACCAAGTGTGTCTTGGAGTTTTTTGGCTTGATTCTTGGGGAATCATGCACCACCAACCATGTAGTACTGGGGCTCATACCCGACCTCCTGTCTGCAAAGCATTCACTTATTCTTTTCTGATATCTGCCCTTGAAGTGCATTTCATGTCTATAGTAAAATCCCCCAGGATAGTTTAGTTTGAGATGACCCTCCCCCCAAAAAAATCAATGGGGCATGTTTGTTGTGTACATTGAGATGATGTATTAAAATGTTGAATAGAACTTGTTCTTAGAAAACAAGTTCCATCATTATTATTGTATAAATGTGTAAGTACATAAAATCAGCAAATTCCTCTCACAGTAAGAAACCTCTTCTGTAAGACTTTTCTTAAGGCAACTTTCTCCCTGCCCTCTTGTCTCAGTGTTTCCTTCTGAGGATAATACTGGTGCCTATTATTTTGAGATTGAGATAGTCATATATGTCACTCAGTATCCTGTGCCTGACCCTTACTAATGCCTCAGAACTTATGATAAAGGGTATTTGCAGTGGAAGGAAGAGGTCAATTTTTGCTTTAGTGCTGGATAGTCTTCTTGTTCTTTATTGATTTGGGGACTCACCAGAGGTGCTTGGGGGGCTTTTTCCAGCTCGGGGCTCAAGGAGAATGCGGTTCAGGGTATTAAATTCAGGGCTTCTACATGCAAAGTATGCCTTCAGCTTGTTGCGCTATCTCCTTGGCCCTGTGCTGGGTAGTCTTAAGATGGTAGATAATGAGAAATTCTATTTTTTTCATGTGATGGCATAAAGCAGGAGTATATTTTAAAAACTGCAGTTTATGAAGTTGAAAATTTTAAAACTGCAGTTTGTGAAGTTGAAAACTTTTTATAAATCGGCATTTTCCCTTGTAGTGTGGAAAACTAAGGTAATGTACCCTTGAGTTGACTTTCAACTTGATATATTCTGCCTTGGTCATTGTGGGAGGCCCGTTAAAAGCTGGAAGGAATAATACATTTGAAATTTTCTGTTTATTCAACTAGAGCCTGTTCATTATAGGAAATTTGCAAAATGTAGCCAGTTGAAAGCCTCGATGACTTTTTATTAATTATTTATTGGGACACATCTGGTAATACTTAGGAGATACCCCTAGCTCTGTGCTAGTGGTGGGGTGCTCTGGGTGATGCTCAGGGAACTTTGTGTGGGTGTTCATACATGTAATGTATGTGCTCAGTGCTTTGAACTCCCCCAGCTGACACTTTTAATGCTAAGTTTTGGAAATGCTTTATGGTACTTAAAAACCTGTATGTTGGAAGGTGACAGGTTTGCCACAAAGTGCAATTTAATAGGCTTTCCCAGAATATCTCAGGAATGTAGGAGTTAGTTATTGCCCTTCCTTTTCGGAGGTCAAACTCAAATTAGATGGGTGACTCAAGGTACTACTGAACAAGTAAATCTACTGATATGGCGATAATGTAAAATGGGTCATTGACTTGTGATTTGGATGGCACTGTTTGAGACTCTGGACAGTTGATAGTCTAGTGGCTCACACAGTCTATTTCTAGTCTCATTGTAGTATACTTATTCAATTAGTAGTAAGTAGTAGTATTTATTGAACTACTTCCAGTTCACATTTCTGCGAAACTGTTCTGTTGTGGTTTGTTTCAATGAAAGGCGTAATTGTGAGGTGGGAAGAAGTGATGAAAATTGTTGAACTGTTAGTGAATCTTTCTAGAAACTTTTATTTTGTATAGAGAGGGTGACTATATACTTTTTGAGAATGGTTGTTGATTAAGAACTATTGTCTGAAGTGGCAAGAGAATGATGCTATTTGACAGTTTTTTTTTTCTTTCAGTGTTGGATGTAACTCAGAGCCTTAATACATGCAAGGCAAGAGCTGTACTCATGAGCTACATTCTTTGCCTAAGTGTGATATTGTTTGAATTTGATTTTAAATTTATTTTTTACTTTTTTGGTAGGCTGGTGATTACTCCTGTCTCTGTACTCAAGAATTACTGATAGCAGTGCTTGAGGGATCATATGGGATGCGGGGAATTGAACCTGGGCCAGATGCATGCAAGTCAAATGCCCTACTCACTGTACTGTCTCTCTGAGCCTGATTTTATAATTGGGGTGGGAGGTAGGAGAGCACAGGAGGTAAGGTGCTAACCTTGCATACAGCTTATCTAGGTTCAGATCCCTGGTACCACATACGTTCTCCACACCGGAGCACAGAGCCAGGAATAACAGTGATTATTAAACATACACACACAAACATATACCTCTCTTTGGTTTGAGGACCATACCCAGCAGTGCTCAAGGGTTATTTTCCAAAACAAATAAGTGTGTGTGTGTGTGTGTGTGTGTGTGTGTGTGTGTGAATATAGGTAGATAAAAGTTAAGAGAAGTACTTTTTTTTTTTGAGGGGATAATGGTGGACATAAGCAGACAAAGTCAGACAACTGAATAAGTTTGCCATCTCTCACTAAGGAAACTGCTGTTGTTGGATTGGAGAGTTCTTTTGGAGACTGACGATAAGAACATGCCATTCTTCGTAATATTTATGTATTATGCCATTCTGTGTGATATATATTATTAATATATATGCATGTGTACAGACAGACAGACAGACACACACACACACACACACACACACATGCTGGGGAATTTCTGGCAGTGCTGTTCATACCCAGTTGTATGAACCTGACAGTTCAGTGTTCAGGCATTGTGGTGCTGGAGTCTGCCAGGGCCATTCTGGTGGTGCTTAGGGACCTTCAAGGCCATACCCAGCAGTGCTCTGGGGATGATGTGCTAGGGATCAAACTCAGAGCATCATGTACTCTGCCCCATTGAGCTATCTTTCTGGCCCAGTTATGTTGTGCCTTAATTTTTGTTGTCAGATTCTTAAGGAGAGGATTCTGCCTTATGTGTCTGTTTCCTATTATCCTTTAATAGATAATGTGGAGCCAGGTTGTGGAATAACTTAATTAGCTATTAATATTTCCAAGCTAAAAACTTGGACCTAGGGGCCCTGAAAGGCTAGCGAATTTTGTGCCAAGTACTGACGAACCATTAACAGCAGTATGTAGAGACCCAGAGCAAGAAAAATAATCGGTAGCAGCTTACTACATATTATTT